ATACTGCCAACGATAAATGAAACACGCAATAAACCATAACCATTTCTCAGATCAACCATTCATGAAGCCATTTCTCCTCTAGCAATTACCATAGCAAATTTTTTTTTGAATTGAACCTCGATGTTTACCCATCAAAGATGCTGAAATCGAACCGTTAATTTTCATTAATGATCCCAACGATCTCCTCTGACCCAACACACTACCCTGGTGACATGTCACACCAATAGAGGCCGAAGCCATATCTAGCATAATACGCGCACCAATAAGCAATGGTCCGAACATACTCAAATCATGAAAATGACTCAAATGAAAGAGTTGTACCTCAAGCTCACCAGTACCACCACAACGCAGGGTTGAGAACCCGTCTCACATCATAGAATAGGACACATGAATCTAACCCGCAAAGCCATATCTCCATATAGCTTTGCTACAATGTGCGATCCTATCCAAACATTGCTCCACATGGGACACCTCAAGTCACTATGCTCGAAATTGACAACCACGCACAATTTGACGTCTGGAACCAAAGCAAATCATTACTCCAACGGTGAAACAAGTAACATATACCATTCAAACCCGATAGGACGTAACCGATACACCATTCACCAAGCAACACCCGATTACTCTTCCCGCTCGACTTCCACTATGAACCTCATTAGAACCGCACCATATGTGCCCATAACCAATAAATCATAATGTCTCGCAACACAGATAGGAAACTCATAGATATCCCCAGATCACTAATAAGCAGCCCCTCGGGCATTTGTAAAATAGTAGTTCTCAGCCCAAAATACCATTTAGAAATATCATTTGAGTTTTCAAATCTGCATAAAAGCGGCTGAGTTTGTAAGACAATAATTATAAACAGGACTGGGTTTAAATATAAGTCAAAACAGTGAGGAAATAGTGATAAAAATTCCCGAAGGATTCAAATAATTGACACGAAGCCCAAATATGGCAATCAGCCCAAATCATGATGATAACAAATAAGTTTCAATCAAATATGCGTAAAATCATCAATCGGGATGGACCAAGTCACAATCCCCGGTAGTAAAAGACCTCACGTTCATCATCCAGCGTGTGTCTCACCTCAATATAGCACTACGATGGGTAAATCCGGGGTTTCAAACCCTCAGGACATCATTTACAATCATTACTTACCTCGAACCGGCTAATCCTCTAGCTTGTGATGTCTTTGTCTCTCAAATCGACCTCCGAATGCCTCGAATCTAGCCACAATAATCGATTCAGTTAATAAAAATTATAGGAATTAATTCCATATGAAATTCTACATTTTCCATTAAAAATCCGAAATTGCACTCAAAATTCGCCTGTGGGGCCCACATCTCGAAAAATGACAAATGTCACGGAATATGAACCCCCATCCAACCACGAGTCCAACCAAACAAATTTACCAAAATCCGACATCGGATTGGCTTTCAAATCTTAAAAATTCATCTTTTTGGAATTTTAGAAAATTCCTCCATTTCTCTTCAAATATCAATAATCTAACGCCAAAATTGAAGATTTATTCATGAAATATAATCACAAGGGATTCAAGAACACTTACCCTAAGAATTCCCGTGATTTCTCGCTCAAAATTGCCCAAAACCCGAGCTTGGCAGTCAAAAAAATGACCAAAAACCGGACTGCTGGACTTAAAACTGTCCAGAATTTCGGGGTACTGTTCATACGTTTTTTACTGTTCATGTGTACTGTTCACATATTGTTCACATACTATTCACGTGTACTGTACATGGTACTGTTCACGCAGGTGCGGTCGCTGTTCACACGTGCGAAAAATGCAGAAACTGCCCAGAAAATTAGCAGCTTTTCTTTTCACTAAAAAGGCTCTAACTCCATTATACGAACTCGGAATTTAATGATTCTTGTTTCTATGAGTCACAAATAATAATACGAACATAGCCCTTCAGTTAAAACTCAATTTGGAGCTCATTTGCTCAGTTCAATACCCATTTCGCTCGTTAAACAATTAACTCATATTTCGTGTCAAAAACCCAATCGCGACTTGATGAAATTAGACCAAACTTTTCAGATCAGTCCTATAATTCATTATCAAAATTCCGAAAGTCTCGAAATCAAATTTCGATCTCTAGAACTAAAAATGGACCTTTGGATTATTACATGTTTATGCTCAAAACGGCAAAATCTTCCAAAAACTCTTCCAAAACATATCCGAGCCTCATGGGACCCCGACCAAACATGCCAAAACACCTCATAACATAATTCAAAGTTGTTCCAACCTTCAGAACGCTCAAAACAATATCAAAACATCAAATCACCCTCGGATTCAAGCCTAAGAATTCCAAAACTTCTGAAATTCGAATTTGATCAAAAAATCGACCAAATGACGTCCAAATGACCTGAAATTTTGCACACATATCACAAATGACATAAGGAAGCTACAGCAACTCTCGGAATTCCATTCCAACCCTCGGATCAAAATCTCACCTATCAACCGGAATTCGCCAAAATATTAACTTTGCCAATTCAAGCCAAATCCTTCCACGGACTTCCAAAATGCATTCCAATCACGCTCCTAAGTCATAAATCACCCAACGAAGCTATCCAAATCATAAAATTTCCGATCCGAGCTCATAAACAAATAAGTCAACTCTTAGTCAAAGCTTTCAACTAAGACTGTTCCTTCAAATTCATTCTGATTTTTTTCCTGAAAACCAAAACCAACGATCTACATCAGTCATAATACGTTATACGGGGCAAGTCATGCCCGGGAACTGGCGATCAAAGTGCAAAAGTTCAAAACGACCGGTCGGGTCGTTACAATATATGTATGTAGTCAAACGGCGTTATATACGCGTATATATGTATGTATATATATGTATATGGGATATAGGAAAGGTTATGGCATTATATACGCACCACCACCTGATTAGCTGGTATACGATGATGATTTTGCCCACAGTGGCCGATATGTTATGATGGGATGCCCTCAGAGGCTGATGATGTTATGAAACATGTACCTATGCACGATATGACATTCATACGCATATGTATGACTCTAAAAGTAATTTATGATTTACAAAGTTATTCAGACTTGCAGGTTGAGTCATGTACTCTATATTTCTTCCATGTCTCTTATGTACTTATTTATGTACCTTACATACTCGGTACATTATTCGTACTGACGTTCCTTTTGCCAGGGGACGCTGCGTTTCATGCCTGCAGGTCCCGATAAATAGGTCGAGAGCCCTTCAAGTAGGCTATAAACTCAGCGGATGATGTTGGTGCGCTCCATTTGCTTCGGAGTTGCCCGTTTGGTTAGTATGATTTAGACGTGTATTGTTTAGTATGGTGAGACTCTGTCCCAACATTTATGATATTTATGTATTCTTAGAGGCTTGTAGACATATGTCGTGTACATAAAAGATCGTACGGCCTTGTCGGCCTATATTTTGAGTTTATAAAGGATCATGTTGTCCTATTATGTCACATGTATATGATGATGTAATAAGAAAGATACGTTACATTGATACTCGATTGAGTAAGGTACCGGGTGCCCGTCGCGGCCCATAGGCTTGGGTCGTGACAAAATAGTATCAATTAATCAGTTTTATGATACAACTATAATTCTACAGTTATCGCTTCATATTATAATTCACTTTGCTAATATGAACTATTTCTATAAAGAACCATATAAATATGATTAGGCACTTTATTCTTTTTGGTTACCAGAACAAAAATACAGTAGAGTACTAATACAACGACATCAAACACAATAACATAATTTGCAATATCGATTATTGGTTAATAGTTCTTTTTTACTATAAAATTGCAAGTAAAGAACAAACAATACATTAACATTGACAATCAACTAAACTTATTTATAGCTTAAAGATCATGAACCTATAATCATAGTGAGGCAAGGCGGCTTCAGTTGAGAATTTAACGCAACTGCATTCATAACTCTCATAAATGCCTTTGCTCTAGCAACCCTCACCCACTTGCCTTATCAGTCCCTAATTGTAACACGGAAAACCTAAGCTAATTGGTCCCCTTGAGGAACATATTGTACATATGTAATTTTGGACTATTTAGTAGAAACAAATAAGTTTTATCAAACTTATCTCTTCAGAAAATCATTATGAACTCCAACTAATAAACCTTTCAAAAATAATGAAATTTTCAAATAATGCAAACCTTTTGAAAATCATGCAGTAGAAAGATTAGTATCAATAGCGTATTATCTGAAAATCATGCTCGATCCCTCCCTTTTCAAGTCGATCCCTTTTGTTCTTGAATCAGATTCTAATGTCTAACCTTGTCGAAACAAGAATTTTGATTTTACCTTTTTAGTGTCAAACTATAGCGTTTGAATCGATGTTGAAGCATACCAATTTTATTTTCAATATCTTGTGGTGAACGTCTGGACCCCATAATGTCTAGTTCAAAGGGTTGGGAAGCCAACTGCTAGTTTATAATCACTTTCTTTTGTAATTAGATATTCGTCCTAGATTTTCCTGGATGAAGGAACAGAGAGTGATCGACGAACAATTTACTTAGTTTAAACAATTCTATGCAACAGTTATTCCAAAAATCAAGATAATAAGAACGGAAAAGGGCTAGAAATGTCCCTCTACTATCTAAAATAAGTCATATCTAGCCCCCGTTATACTATTTAATTAAAAAAGTCCTTACCGTTTGTGACCAGAAATTAAAATGTCCCTCCACCGTCTACTCTACCATTTAAAATTAAAATATCCACTCGGCAATCTTTGATTGGATGGTTTAAACCCACCCCTATTTTTTTAATTAACCCACGACCCGGTTCATTTTATCCGACCCACCCGTAAATCGCTTAAAGAACACCCCAAAACAGATCGGTCCTCTCATTCAAGAACAAAAGCTAGGGTTCTTCAAGAAAGGTTACTCTTAGTAGAGGGCTACTCCAATTTCTTTCATTATCAGTTATTTGATCCAAACCACGCTGTAAATATTGTCCAAAAAAGTGGTTTGGCATGTCGGAAAATAGTTATTCATCCAAAAGGAAGTGCCACTGTGGGAAATTTGCTAACCACTTCACTTCGACTACTCTTTTTAACCCTGAACGGAGATTCTACAAGTGTCCAAAACCACAAGTAAGTGATTATTAAATTCTGTCATGTTTGAAATTTTTTATAGTTTAACGAATTGTTTCCCTTATTTGTTTGAATTGTATTTTGATATTATAGGATACTTCATGTGGTTATTGGAAATGGTCAGATGATCCTATTCCCGATAGAGCGCTTGTTGTAATCAACAATTTAAGGTCTCAGTTGGATGCGGCAAATGCTAAAATTAGTACTTTGAAGTCATCGTTGGACAATGTTAACATTGAAAGGGATAAATTGAAGGAGAAATTGATCGCTGTGAAGGCAAGAAACCATGTTCAAGTGACTAAATTAGAAGAGAAAATCCTCAAGATGAAGATTTTCACTATTATTTTATGTACCCTTTTTGTTGGAATTGTAGCCGCTAGAGTAATGAATTGAACTTTAGCTGCTAATGTATTGTTGGAATTATGTAGGCTCATATACCATATGAGTTCACTTTTGTTTAGACTACTTCAAGCCTTGTAACATTGATGTTTTAAGTTAATGTTTAAGTTCTAATGTTAATTGCTTGCTTTTATTGGTTCGCCTGCAGATTTAAGTTTAAGTTTAAGTTACTCCTTGTTTAAGTTCCATTTTGAAATTGGTCTTGATGTAAACTTGAAGTTTAAGATGCTATATATTAGTTGGTTGTTCAATATTAACACAAAACTGTCCAGTGAATATAGTGAACACAAAACTGCAAACTGCAAATTCAATATTAACACAAAACTGTCCAGTGAATATAGTGAACACAAAACTGCAAACTGCAAATTCAATATTAACACAAAACTGTGCAATGAACATAGAGAACACAAAACTGCAAACTGCAAATTCAATATCATGAGCACACAGTGAACATACTGAACATTAAATAATAACACAAAACTGCAGATTCAAAACTACAGATTCAACACAATGAACATACTAAACATTAACTGCAAAATTGCAGATTCAAAACTGTAGATTCAACATAGTAACTGGATATTTCATTACACAAAATAAATCCAGATTTGTGGAGACATGGATGCCATATTATACCCCCTAATACTTTCACAAACATGGTGATAATATGACATCCAACCCCAACATTCAGCAAGAAGTCTTAAAAGACTACACAAAATAGGAAATGTACTATCACATGGCAGTAATTACAACCCAACAAACTATACAAAAACAACATATTTAGTTCTATTACAATAGACTTCAGTTTTTCCCCTTCTTAGCTTCAGCTTATCCACTTTCTTTCTGCTTTGCATCTCCAGCTAACTTCGAGTTACAACATTTTTTCCTTCCCATTTGAGGCCTGCTCGTTTGAAAGGAAGTGATGATGGAATACTAACACCATTTGATTCACCAGTGAATGAAATTACCCTTACACTTGAAGTTTGAGGTGGTTTTTGCCTTTGCAGAAGTCTTGTTTTAGATTCCGACACAGTTGTTGGCCTTGTAACTACATCTGGATCAAGTTCAGGTTGCTCACACTCAGGGAATGGACTGTTTGATTGATTGTGCACTGATGGTGTAGGCATGAACACAAAATTTGAGCCTTGAACACTCGACTGACTTGCTTGACTAGATTGGGGTGTTGTTAGGTGTATCTCTTCTTCTGATTGTTGCCCCACACTTTCATCTTCATCAACTAGATATCTAGTATTTTGCATTGCCCTTTTTTGCCATTGGTGGCTATTGTTAACAAATAAAAATAGTTAGATAAAGTAGATGTTAGTATTGTTAACAAGTAAAATAAGTTAGATATGGTGAGAGGTATTACCTTCTCACAACCTCTTGCATTATGATTTGGCTCTCCACAATTGGTGCAAGTCATTACTCTCCCCTTTCTTGAAGCTGCCCATTCACTTTGCCTTTTGATTGCCTCATCTTTTTGTCTTGTTCTCTTGATTTTAGGACTCCCAGTCATCTTGACGAACTCAGGTGGTTCCATTGCTTATGATGGATCTACCTTCCAGAATTTTTCACCCCTAACTGGCTGCAACTTGTACTTGTAGGTAAGTAGATATGCTTCTTTGTTGTACCACCAATTGATTTCATTCATAGGCTCCAACATTTTTAATTGCAGGGATTTAATTTCATGTGGGCATGGGATTCCAGTAAGATTCCATCCCCTACATGTGCATTTTTTCAAAACCATGTTTACAGTGTGCTTATCTGTCCCTTCCCTGAATTCATAGCCATTGTCACCATTGTTGTCCACATAGCAAGAAGTGTTAGCTATCTTGAAGTATTCATTGTAAAGCTTCAAACTATGTGGACTGAAATCATTTACCCATGACCTCACAGCTTCCTCCATTTCCCTCAACTGGTTCATCAACTTTATCCTTATCTCCTCAAGCATTTTAATGATTGGCTTTTGCCTTGCTTCAACCAGCCATGCATTCACTGACTCAGTGAAGTTATTCTCAACTTTTTGGTTCTTGCACACAGTATCAAAATAGGCTCTACACCAAGCCTATGGAGGATAGAAGGGCTATGTTTAATACTGAGATGTATACCTGTTGATACATATATCCATGGTTTCTATATTTCTCAGATTTATTTCTTTTCTGTGTTGATAACTTTCAAGTTTATCTTCATAGAATTCAATTTCATTTTCTATAGTTAATAAAGCTTTATTACGCAATCTATTATATCTAATTATGTCTTTGCAGGTTTTAATATTGTGTTTAACACAATCTATTTTTCTATTTATGTTACTGAGGGTTTTAAGAAGTTTCCATTTCTGGGTGTTATAGAATCTGTTTATAAATGAAACATTTAACAATGATTCAGTAGCTTCCTTACTCAGTTGCCCAATACTCTTCAACTGATCTTTGAAATCTTCCTCATAAGAGCTCCAGGAACTCCACCATAGCAACTTCTTGAACTCATCTGTCCTCCATCTCTTGCACCAGTTTGCCTCTATGTGCTTCACACAAAATCTATGGTGTGAATCAGGTAGAACATTCTGGACTACCTTAATTAATCCCTACAAAATGAAAGTGAATATTAGCAAACATGCAGTACTACAGGTAATTAACAACAAATTGAAATGAAAGAAATAAAGACATCTGGACAGAATTCATACCTTCTGCATATCTGACATAAAGGTAATTCCCTCACTATATTTGAGATCCAATAACATTTGAAGCAATTCCAAGAACCAGGTCCAAGTCCTTTTGGTTTCTTTATCAACAACTGCCCATGCTACTGGATAAGACTGATTATTGGCATCTAGAGCTACAGCAAGCAATAGCTGACCTTTTGTTTTTCCTTTCAAAAAGGTACCATCTAAGCCAATAAATGGTCTCACCCCTTCTCTAAAACCCATCTTCAATGCTTAAAAGCAAGTATACATTCTCAAGAATTTTCTTTTACCTTGTTTAAGGGCATCCTTTGACAAATTAATGACTATATCACTGCCCGGATTACTTACTCTAAGCCCATTGGCATATGCCTCAAGTTTATTGTAATCATCTGTGAAGTTACCATCCAGTTTCTCTAAAATCAACCTCTTAGCCCTCTTGCACTCCATAACTAACATTAACATTGAATGTGTTTTTCAGTTCTACTCTCATCTCTTTTATCTTAAACTTTGAGTTATCTTGCACCTTCTTCTTGAAGTAATTTGCTATTGTATAATAATCAACCCTAGAATTCTCAAATGCTTCATCACATGTATGTTTTGATTTTAAGGTCTTTACCCTAATCCCAGGAAGGTCCCCATCTAGAGTAATATGAACAATAAAGGGGCAGTCAAATACACATCCATATCTTAGCCTTTTTGGAGAACTTTTCAACAACTTTAGTTCCTTTTTGTTTGCTAAGGCATAGAAGTTGAGATATTTTCTTGCTTCAGGTATATCCTTAAAGCTCATACCCTTATACAATTCCTTATAATTATCCAAACTAGGCATAATCTCTCTTTTCTTTTGATTAACAAATGTTTGTAATTCATCACTATCATACTCTACCTCTCCAGAATTAGAATCAGATTCACTTTCAACATCACTACAATCAATACCAACTTCATTTAATATAGTATAAGACTCAGAATGATGGACTATGTTTGTCACACTAATAGACTGCTCACACTCATCTACAATATAGAAATGAAGAGCCTTGAATTCATCAGAGATTAGTCACAAGATATGTCTTATACCATCATCATCCTCAATCTCATAATAATTACCAGATGAACCATTCACAATTAGTTGTTGAACACCTACATTTCCTAACTCATTAATGTATAAATCCACTAGATATTTGTACGATAGAAGTTCAGAATCATAACCTTTCTTGATATGGGACAACTTCTTTGAATACAAGACATGTGGGCTTGTGATCCAGTCCCCACCATAATGCAAGATTAGGTCCACCAATGGCATCCTTGTAATTTTGTAAAGGTAACAATAAAAAATACCTAAACAATTAAAAAATACTAATAAAGAATACGGGGACAAACAACAAAAATATAAATAACATAAACAATACCAATAAAGAACAATATCTAAGCAATTAAACAAAACAGAATTATAAATCATGTATGGATTTAGGGGAACACAAATAACATGTAACAACTAGGGGACCACAAATAATTCAAGTAGTAAAGGCCCACTAATACTAAAATATTCACAAATTTCAGTTGTGAGGGAACAACATTCAACACACCCAGCACACACATATGCCAGACAAGAAAACGACTAAAAGGAACAAATAAACCCCACATTATCATATCTTACCAACTTTAATGCTTACAAAATTCAGAAAAGACTAAAACAAAACACATGCAAAGACATTCCACACAAGAAAATAAGACAAAAAGGTCAGAAAGTAACATCTTAAACCAAGACATAAGAAAACAAAATATATTAAAGCCCCAAAACGATTTGAGCATAAAACCTTAAGAATAAACTAAGACAAATACACATAGAGGAGAGATAAAAAAAGTAATATTACGCAGATTAAACATACCTTTTCAGAAAATTGATTCTTTAATCGGCAGCATCGACTAAGAGAAGGCTTTGTTAAAGAACCCTAACGTTTGGTCTCGTGGTTTTGTTCTTGAATGAGGACCGATCTGTTTTGGGTGTTCTTTAAGTGATTTACGGGTGGGTCGGATAAAATGAACCGGGTCGTGGGTTAATTAAAAAATGGGGGTGGGTTTAAATCGTCCAATCAAAGACTGTCAAGTGGATATTTTAATTTTAAATGGCGGGTTAGACGGTGGAGGGATATTTTAATTTCTGGTCACCAACGGTAAGGACTTTTTTAATTAAATAGTATAACGGGGGCCATATATGACTTATTTTAGATAGTAGAGGGACATTTCTGGACCTTTCCGAAATAAGAAATCAAAATTCACCTTATAACTGTACGACCAACGCGAATAAATTGTCCAGGAAGAGAGAAGATTGAAAGAGACAGAGGAAATTGGAAGAGGAGTTGAGCACTGACAATTTCGAGGAAGAACAGTGTGAAGTAGAGTATAGATGTTGTTCGTTTGAGCGGTGTAAGGAACGTGGCAAAACTAAAGTAGGGTTAGCGCGTGACTTTTGCCAAAATATTTGTAATTTTCCCAAAATACCCCGGACGACCCCAAGCTCCTCAAACTGTCGCTTATTAATAAGGGGAATAAGAATTTGGACACTTTAGAGTAAGTCTGGCATGTGGGCAATCAGGTGCTATCATCGTATTATAATGATTATTCTGACGTCAGAGCAGATAGGACTACCAATCCCAGAGTGAATTAACCTTGTCTGAACTACCACCTTAGTTTACTAGACCTTGGGAAATTGGCTAGTTACCTTGGCCCGGCCCCGGACCAGACCCGCGAACTCATATGGGTAATGGGCCTAAACGGGACTAATCGTTTAAGTTCGGGATCAGGGGAGGTAGGCCTGCTAAGTGGGCCGGTTACGTTAAAAAGCCTATTAGGATCGAACCGTTTGAGCTCGAGACCGGGTGCTAAGTAGGCCAATTCAATCGATCTTAAACGGTCCTAAACGGGCCCAACGACTATTTTTTAAAAAAAAAAATTGGGTCCGCGACCAGGTGCTAAGTGGGCCGGTCCAACATGTCCAAAACAGGCTCAAACGGGCCCAATGACTATTTTTTAATCATTGCAATATTTAAACAATGGACGTTGTCTTGCAAAAATAGCCGTTTGGGCTTTGTAAAATAGCCATTTAACCCCCCAACTTTGTTTTAACCCCAAACTTTTTATAATTGTACTTTTTCCCTATTTTCAACTATAAATGCCCCCTCATTCTTTCATTTTTCTCACAAAATCATCAATCTCTCTCTAATTTTCTTCTATAATTGGTTACTTTATTGTTGCAATTTGTGTGAAAAAAATATGAAGTTGGTGAATTGAAGTATTCTAAGTCTTCAAGTCTTCAATGATAATTAATTTTCAACAAGTTATTCGTCAATTCGGTAAACTCGTTCCAACTCTTTAGTTTTAATATTATTATTTTGTTTGTTTTATTTACTTTGTATAATTATAATTAAGATGGCCTATTTCTTAAGAAAATATTTAGTAAAAATAAGGGAAAATCCAAGAGTGGTGAATCTAGTGGTCAATCTATTCCTCCTCTAATTTTTCGGGCTCCCCTACCAAAACCCCATACCCGCCTTCCACCTGCTCCTATTGTTGATAGTAATAATACTTTATTATAATTTACTGAGAGTCAATATGTGCATAATGTTGGAGGTGGTGAACACTTAGATCATGAATATATGAATTCTCTTTATGATAATCGAACTATTGATGAATAAGATCAGCAGGAAATAGATTTGGATGAAACGCAACCGAATGACGATACACCCACTAGTCATGTTGCTGAAGTTAACCCAACTAATCCAAATGATGCCCCATCTGACCCCCCATTACTACCCCTACTTTTTCTAGACAGCCTTCTAAACGGGCTGAAACATCTCTTGTTTGGCCATTTTTTATTCAAATAAGAGAAAAAATAAAGCTAAATGTAAAACTTATGGCAAAAGGTTAGTTTTTAACTATGTTACTCGGGGGAGGGGAGAAGTTTGAGGAGACACATAATGATACACCCTCAAGATAAAGTTAAATATTATCAAATGAAAGCTGCAGCTAGGGGGACAAGTCTACCTAGTCAGCCTGACCCTAGTACCGGGTCAAATCAATTTCAACCGAAAATTAACATTGTTACCGATTGTATTTTATATTATGACCCAAGAAAAAATAGGGAAGGATTGGCAAAAATGGTTACTGTTATGTGCTTACCCTATAGTTTTCCTTCTAACCCTCACTTTGTGCATTATATTAGAAGAGTTTTTAATCCTACTTATAAATTTTCCTCGCACAACCGTAAAGAGCGATATTTATAAATATAAACAATATCTGCGCTATTTATTTACTCATATTAATTATCGTATTTCTATTCGATATTGGTAGAAATGGTAATGACTGTGATTATCTTACTATTACTAGTCATTGGATTGATGAGGTTTGGATAATGCAAAAGCGTATTATTGCTTATAGAATAATTGATAAGGTTTGGATAATTAACGTCACACAGGGCAGCTTATTTCTAGCACGGTTACGGATATTTGTAGATATTTTTGCATTAGTGATAAAATAATGTCAATTTCAATGGATAATGCTTCTAGTAACACTAATGTTGTAGCCTTGCTTACCACTACACTAAATCCTGCATTTAGTAACATTTTTCATGTTAGGTGTATTTGTCATATTTACCATTTAATTGTGGGTGATGGTGTCGCACCTCCTTTTTCTGCGCCCGAGAGGCGCATGGGGAGTTTTCTCCAATTTGAAGGACAGTCGAAACGGGATTTATTTAATTATTTCAGAGTCGCCACCTAGGAATTTTAAGGCGTCCCAAGTCACCAGTTTTAATCCCTGAATCGAGGAGAATATGACTCTGTTTATTATTCTGCGAACCAGAAATCCTGAGTAAGGAATTCTGTTAATCCGGAAGAAGGTGTTAGGCATTTCCGAATTCCGTGGTTCTAGCACGGTCGCTTAACTGTTTTTATTATTGGCTTAATTATCTTGATTTT